AATGTTAATTTAAAAAACATATATTTTTCAGAAGTACTTTTTCTGCATTTGTTGACAGAATCATTTAATTTGTTGGGTTTTTTTTCACCTATATAGTGTAGTGTGTATATAGTTTTCTGATGTGGCCATAGTGTTTAATCTTTTTTTATTAATATTTACCGTAACTTATAATTTTATTCAATATTTTATGTCAGCATTCATTTAGAGGTAGTGGTCCATTGTTTTATTTCTCTACTTTATCTCTCCTTGGTATCAAGAAGATATGTATATGATAGAAAGAGTTTGGTCAGATACTTCTTTCTCTGTTTTTTGCAGTCATTTTAATCTAATATTGAAGTTAATTATTGTTTGGATGTTTGATAAAATTTACTTTTAAATCCCTGTTGTCCTAATCCCTCCATCATTGCCCTCCTTCCTCAGGAGTTCCTTTGTTTCTTATTCAATTTCTTTTTCTGATATTAGGTTATTTGAATTTTCTATTTCCAATTCTAGTTTTTTTTTATAAATATACACTCATTTAATATGTTTTCAGTTTTATTGGTTATATTATTGGGCAAAGTAATTTCTCAAAATTTCCTTTATTTCCTCTTTATCATAATATTATAATATAAATATGATTAACATTTATGTAGTTCTTTGAGAATTGAAAATCATTTTAAATATGCTATATACTATTTAATTTGATCCTCACAAAAACCCTGTGTGATAAGTGCTATTATCATCCCAGTTTTGCAGATGAGAGAATATTGACTCCCTAGAGAGGTTAAGTATTGGCCCCACTAATAGAAACTTGGAATCATTAGAAATACAATATAATTTCCCAAATGCAGTCTGGCATGCTGTCTTCCTTCTATTAAATTCTGAGGCTGACTCATTGTCTATCCCAGATGTATGTACTAATATATTAACTGAGTGGTCTGACCATCTAGTTGTACGTCACAATGTAGACAAAAGGCAATCCATTTAATTTTTCCTCTATGGATTGTTAGCTTGATTTATAAATAAATAACAGAAAATAACTAAAATTCAACATGCCTCAAATTATAATCATTATCTTCCCTTCCTCCTCTACTCTTCACCAAAACGAGACACCCCTTCTCACTTCCCTGTTTCTTTTATTGGTAGCACCATTCTGCCAATCAGCAAGGCTTAAAAGCCCATAGTTAGCTTTACCTCCTAACCTCTATATCCAATTAATCCCCAATCTTTTTCATTCTTCCTGTGAAGTCTCTCTGGTATCTGTAGCTTCCTTTCCATTTCCACTGCCACCACTTCAGTCTAATTTCATCTCATCATGCTCGGTCTATCATAAGTGGTCTTCCGGTCTTTAGTGTCTTGCTCCCACTCATTTCAGTGGCTGTCAAATCAATCTTTCTAAAACCCTACATTGATCCTGTCTTTTCCCCTGCTCAGAAACTTTCAATGGCTACTCATTGACTCCTAGAAAATGTCCATTATATTCCCAGTCTAACTATTCTATATTATCCTCCTACATGAACCCCTCATCCAGCTGGATCACTCTATCCATATCCCAAGCGAAATTTGTGTGCTTTCCTGTCTCAATAAAGATATTCTTTACTGACTGATTGATTAATTGAAATATGCTTATGTCAGGCATGTTACCTACTACATACCTAGGAAAAGTGAAATAAAATATTCACGCTAATAAAAATCAAATTCTGCCTCCAGAAATTCTTTTACCCATCTACAATCCAAAATTAAAATGGCATATTTCAAATAAGAATACTATACAAAGTAAAAACAGTAATAAAAATAGTGTGATTATTATTTTACATAAAGTCACAGCCCAATCCTTAATGCTTCCCTTTCACCAGAACCAGATCCCCTCAGATAAAAGGAAGAATTCAGTGGTCTTTCTGAGAAACCAAGTTCCCAGAAATACACAAAATAATCAAGAAAAGTCTATAGATTACACCAATCACAGTTGGCCTCAAAGAAGAAATATGAGAAGGCCTTACTTATCTCCCCTTACTTATTTGCAGATTCGAGGGACTAATGGGTGTAAAACACTGTATATATCAGATTTTTCAATAATTTGGTTATTTTTGCTGAATTATTTTTTCTCCTCTTTTTTTAAATCTTTGTTTTAAGATACTGCTTTTGCAGAAAGGAAAGGGGCCGAATACATGGGAAACATAGGTGTTGTGTGTTTGTAGATAAGGAAATAATTTTATTTTAAGGAATACTTAGCTTGAAAAGTTTCTCCAAAAAAGGTTTTTCCAGAGAGTTTTTAAGATTTCTAAAATGCTTTATTTAACCAATGTTTCTTAGGGGGAAAAAAACTAGAATTGATCTATGAAACCAATTCTCTTCAGAAAAAGACATCTACAAAATAAATAAAATGATATCTACTAGAAATGAACATTTTTGCGGATAAAAAGTATTTACTCTATTTTTTTTTCTGTTAGCATACTTTCAGTCTCAGATAGCCATTTAAGAAACTCGGCATATTTTAACTTTGGTCACACTCCTGAAATAGATATTTACTTTAATTTCCAAACACGTTGCTTAGTGTATTTAAAAAATTACTTTGGCTTCTCTCTCCATATATTTCCCTTTCAGTAAGGATCTTGTCTATATCTCCTCATTAATGTTTGGCAAGAAATGTCAGGCAATATGGGATATAATTCCCCTTCACAAGCTTATGAATCTGTATTATATTCCACATCTGGGAAAAGACAATCAACCAGAGATCTACATGAAATAGTAATACACTAAATTTCCCATCAGTTTCTTTTCCCCAAAAACATGAGATGCAAAGAGAAGCTTACAAGATCTTGCATAAGACTTTTCAATGAAAAGATGGTCCAAGCTGAGGTCACAGAGTACTCAGGTGAAAGCCCTTTCCTCAATGTCAGGAGACTCCACTCTAACATAAAGAATAGGTCTGTCTTCATATTTAGGCTTTTCCCGAACTGCTAATTTTCTATAAAGTCCAGGGTTTTTCTAATTTGTTTAGTATCTAAAGAGACATTGGGAACATGCATTTTTAAAGCTTCTCTTCTGTCACCATTGCATCATCTTTCATTCTTGAGTGAAAGCACAAAGTATAGTTTTCATTTGATCTGTTGGAAACGTAAAGATACAGAGTAATGTTTTTAGGAAATACCAGACCTGTGTTCCTAATGTCTTCCTGTCCCTCATAAAACAACATTGTAATTTGTTATTATTACTTTGCATATTACTTTCAATTCAGTCATTTTTTTTAATTGAAACTGAATTTCTCTTGCTAGAGAAATAAGTAGAATTCCTTTGAGCCCTAAATTGTATTATTGTCAGATCACAGGATCTTTATCGGTCATTTATTTAATTATAATGAGTCAATGTTAAAATGTTATAGAATCATTTAAAAATTAACGAAAGTTCATAGGACATAGGACATGGGCAGCCAGATGGTGCCTAGATTAATAAAATAAGATCCTTTTATTAAGGGGACTTGTTCTGTGAAGCCTGGATTCAGGCAAAGGTCCAAGCTTGAGGACCTAAAGGTCCACATGTGCCATTGAGGCTGCAGGTTCCCCATCCCCGTCCTAGTCCATCATTGCTTGGGCTCCCTGTCTTCCAATGACAATCATGGCACTTACGGTAAATTGGTTCAACCAGGTACTATCCTTTCCACAGGAAATCCTTGTTTTGACCCTTTTTTCCCCACACTTTGCCAAACTCTGGCAAACTCTAACCTGTGCCACTATCACAATGTGCCTTTTCTACTCCTAATTGTGGGTTGCCAAACCCTGGTAGAGAAAGCCCCTAGCCTCAGCCGGGTCCTCACTACTTTTGCTGTTTCACTGATTGACTCTCTCACACCAGCGCAACTATTCTTGTACTTCCCCATTCTCCTTCTCCCTCTCAGTACGGAACCTCCCCTGCTACTTTGCTGAGACAAATAAGAAAATGCATTTTGTGCTCCTTTTTTCCCCCCTCTCCTTACTCTCAAAACCCTTTTATACCATCCTCCATCATTCTATTCCAATACTCCAGTCTGAATAAGAAGTTGTCCTTCTCCTTGCCAAGACTAGCTTCTTTCTCTGTATCCTTGATCCTCTACCACACTGTCACCTCAAGGGTATTATCCAGTCTCTTATTCTCACTCTCACTCTCCTTTGATCTTTTTTAAGAGTCATTATTTCCTTCTGTGCCACCTGCCAATATGCCTAGGCATCTCTCATCCTTCATAAACTCTTATTTCACCCTGCCATCATCTCAAGCTCTCACACTCTATCTCTTCTCCCTTTTACAACAAAATTCACAGAGAATTGTCTATGTTTGCGCGTTGACTTCATTTTCTCACTACTCACCTTCCAGTCCCTTGAAAGGTGGCTCCTAAAAACCATATTTCTACTGAAACTGCTCTCTCCAATGTTACTGATTCCCCTAGCTAGAATCAAGACCCTGGGCCGGTCTTATTTATGTGCATCTAAAGATCTTGATGTTACTGTAAGGTCCATTAGGTAGACTTAGGTATTGCTAACCTGGGGAGGGGGCGAAACAAGTCTCCAGCTAGGAGAAATGCTTGACCCAATAGAAAAATATACTTACTCTCTCTGGGTAGAACAATGCAAAATATCTGTTCAGCTTGCAATACCTGTTACCAGAATGTGCCAATCATAACTCAGTTGCCACACCCTAGTATATCTTCGTTAAACTAATTTTCTCCCTCTCTTTCCCAGAATTGTATACCCATAATTTGTCTTTTAATTTTTTTCACCTTCCTAATTATAAAAGACTTAGTCCTCAGTTTATCCTTAAGGTGCCTCAGTGAGAATATAAAGGGAAAACCTTCAGAGGCAAAGTAAACATTCCCCTTCCTAGAAGAGGTGAGACACTAGTTCAACAGCCTGTAATGAAGTCAGAGGCATAGATTTGCTTCCAGAGTAGAAACTGAATTCATAATTCTGCTACTATCTACTCATCTACAGAAAAATCCCAAAGGAATGTGAGAGTAGAGACTGAATTGAAATGGATCCCCATAAGGCAAAATGGAGCAGCTTCCCAAGAACAGAGACTTGACGAAGGGAAGATTTGTTGAAGAGGCGATGCCTGCAGCTTTGAGGAAGTCAACAGGAAGAGATGTAGCCCTTGCTTAAAGAGCTGCATTGGACTGCACTGAAAAGGTCAGGTAACACACCAGCCGGAGAGAGAGAGAGAGAAAGAGCTCAGCACCTGCCCGCCAAGCCCATGACTGAGGGTCGGGAAGAGCAGCACAGCCCCGATGGGCCTTGTCCAGCAAATACAAAGCTCTGAGAAGAACCCAGTCCAGTCCATGATAGCATCAGAGGCCTCAGCCAGTCACTGTCCAGTGGCAATGTACCCTGCCAGCTGAGGCCAGCAGAAGCCAAAATAAAAGATAATGTCCAGTGTTCCTCACATGGCATGAGAGTGGTCAGTCTCTCTGTTTGTGATTAAAACCTCCTTGTCCAGGCTAACATTTGTATTTTATCTTGTGTTTTAAGAAACAATAATAATAATAATAAAATATTTTTTAAAAAAAACATAACTGTGTGTCTTGACAAAAGACATAAATGGCATTAAATCAAACAAACAATAAAAGGCCATAAGGACATTGCTGAAATCATCAAGAATTTGGGAAGTTGGTTGGAGGTGAGGAGGGGGTGGCGATTCTGTTGGCCTCGCTTTAAGCTGTGTAGAGAACCAGATGGAGGGAACTTTATACACTTGTTAGAGTCTGTTATACTATCCCTGCAAAACCTGCATATTCATGGCCTATCTCTCTGTTATAGTGTTACCTCCAAGGAAAACTCCGCTTTGTCCCAAAGCAGGGATATGCAGTGTTGGGAGTGAATTGTGAGAAGTGTATCTAGTATGTTAAACTTCCTAAGTATTACAGAGACTAGATCATATCCTGAAGTTGCTAATTCATGCAAAATTAAGCTGCAGATTTTATTGTTTGGAAACCTCCATAAATGGTTCCTTTTTGTACTTTTAGGCTCTGGAGATGGAGTAGGATGCTAGTTAAGATAAAAATAAAATTGGGGTATTGCATCAGTATCTCACATATTAAATGTGGAAAGAAAACAAAAGTAACAGAATTTATAGGTAGCAAAAGTGAAACTGAAGACTCTTTGAAGTGTGTGTTCATAACATTTTTTAAAATAGTCAATTCTTTAAAAAAAATGCTTGTAAGAAGCCAGCCCAGGACGTGCTGCCCTCAGCCCAGAGGCAGACTGACTCATCCTTCTAAGACATAGTCACCCAATAAAACATCTAAGTACCAGGCCCTGTGCTAAGCTCTGGGGATACCCTGCTCTGAAGAAGCTCGCAGCCTAACGGGGGAGACAACAGGCAAATAACTATGAGCCAATAAGCCATTTACAGGATTAATTGGAAATAGAACAATCAACAGAGTAAAAGCACTAGAATTAAGGGGGAATCTAGAAAGGCTTCCTACAGAAAATGAGATTTTAGCTAGGACTTGAAGGAAGCCAGGCAAGCAAAGGAAGCAGAGATGAGGAGGTAAAACCACTAAAAATAGAGTTCCTTGTTTGAGGAACAGCAAAAAAGCCAGTGTCACTGGATTGAAATGGGGAGAAGAGGGAGGTACAGGGTGAAAAGATTAGGAAGGTAGGCAAGGGGAAAGACTACAAAGGGATTTGAATGCCAAACAGAGGGTTTTCTATTTGATCCTGGAAGTGATAGGGAGCCACTGGAGTTTGTGAAGTAGGAGCTGACTTGGTTGGACCTCTGCTTTAGGGAGACCACTTTGACAGCCGTTTGGAGAATGGACTGGAGTGGTGAGAGACTTATGGCAGGCAGAAAAGAAGAGGGCCCAGAACAGAGCCTTGGGACATACCCATGGTTACCAGGAATGACATGGATAAAGATCCAGCTTCTGAAGACCAAGAATGCAATAACAAGGTGTTAACTACAATGACATGCTTCTGCATCTGAACTGTGTGATTGGTTCTACTGGCAGTCTGGCCATGCCTAGGGGGCTTGAAAAAGCTGCAGAATTTCAGTTTGAAAGATAGAGCTAGAAAAGGTTGAATCAAGCCCCTTCAGAGAAAGTGTCTGGGAGGATAGGATGAGAGATTTTCTCTCCCTCCCCATCGATGGTGTCATCAGACAGACTGGACCAGTGGGTCAATGCATCCACCATGGAACAGAAAGACAGATCAAGGACAGAAAAATACAGAGAGTCAAAAGTGGCAGCTTCAGAGAGAGTGACCCCTAATGGTGTCAGAGGAGTGTTAGCTATGAACTCAAGGCGGAGTGAGATCATGAGAGCCCAAAGGAATGACCCACCCATCAGAGCTGCATCCAAGGGGAGAACTCTAAGAAGTCTGTGAAAGTACTGTCATGTCTTAGAGGACCAGGAGCTATATGAGTTACCCTTTGCTCCACGTGTATCTTACACGTGTACCTCACTACCAGTGTACTTAAAATTTGGCCATACTCTTTACATAGACACTGTGTCTATCTGGGGGAAATTACACCCTCCTCACCTCTTGCCTGAACTATTGCAATAACTTCTACTCTCCAAACCATCCTATACACAGTTGTCAGATTAATATACCTAAACTCATCAGGTATTCCTCTGTTCAAGTGTTCAGTGGCTCCCTATTGCCTCAGAGGTAGCATGCAAAGATCTCTGCCTTGCTCCAATCTCCCCAACTAATTCCAACCTCTCCAGACTCACTTATATCACTTTACTCTAAGTAATCTTTTGTACAAAGTGATCTACTAATTGTTCCCTAAATTTCATTTCTTTCCAGGCTGCAGCCCTCACCTCCACAGAATTTTGTCTGTCATGCCATAGAAACCTCTTCATCTAGTCACTTAACTATAAATTCCAAAATAGGTGTCAATCAGCATTGGTCAGGGAGTCTTTCATGGAGAGCTGCCTACAGTCACAGATCCAGTTGAAAAAACTTGGGGTTTTTTTGATATTCTCTCTTCATAAATATATTAATTACATTGGCAATTTTTCATTGTTTTTCAAATATGAAAAATACATTTTTGCATTCATAAAATAAAAAAACCTCTTCACCCTAAAAGCTCCCTCCATCCCTAGATGACTTCCCCCATTGGAAATACCCTTCTCATCTCTACAATCTCTCCTACTGACCAGCTGGCTCCTCCCAGAACCTCCATTTATAGGAGGAGGCTCAAACCATCCGTATCTTCTTTCCTCTCTGGGCTGTGTTTCTGACACTCTGAACTTTCTCTACCATGCCCCCCCACATCTATGTACTTTCATCCCCGCACCCTCCCCCCTTTATAACTCCTTTTTTCCTTTTATGTGTTGTCTTCTCACAATTGAATGTAAGCTCCTTGAGGGCAGGAACTGTCTTTCTACATGTATTTATATTCTCTTAGCTTATCACAGTGCCTAGCGCAGATTATTTCATCAATTCTTATTCATTTGACTTAACTTGAAAACTTGATAATTTCATCTTTTTTCTGTGCTTTAGCATGGACTGATTCTCTAGATAAGGAATCTCATCTCATCCTCTTAGAATCCCTAATACTCTCTTTCTCTTCAAATTTTATTGTATTCACCTTTCTGTGTCCATGTGTCTTACCAGTGATATTTGAGCATATTGAGGGAAGAGATTTTTTTTTATATATGTTACAGGGCTAACTAAATGTTTATCAAATTGAATAGTACATGGAAAAGAGTGAAAAGGCACACTGAAGTTGGTACAGTCTGCATCTAAAGTGGGGATATCCATGTTGTTTCACCACAGACCTATCTCAGGAAATAAATACATTGAACATTTGTTCAAATGGAATAGGATATTGTTTTCAATGATTTATTTTCTCCACTTTTATGTTCTTTTTCAGTCTATAATCTTCATTCGTGACCGAAATGCTCGTGGTCAGGAGCTGTCTGGTTATATTGACTATGCCCACAGGCTTAAGATGGAAGATTTCGAAGTCTACTTCACTGGGAAAAGAAAACTGCTTCCAAGGCCCACAGATTTGAGGTGAGTTATCTCTGATTTCTTATTTTTATTTCTTATTTTCTGACCAATCAGGATATATTATCTGCTAGAGAAGGGAAGAGATTTCCATTCTGTTCATTTTAAGTGGAAAAATACTTATGCTTGATTTGCATTATTTGCTGTAGGTTTGCCATTAATGAGGGAGCATATGCTCATTTCTCAGATTTAATATGTAACTATCATACAGTGAAACCATTAACTTCAATAGCATTTTTATGTAATATGTAAGTGCTCTTCTGCTAGCCTTTGGGCACAGACTGGAGGCAGCCTCCATGCATAGGGCCTCTTACACTTGCAGGATCCTCCCATGTTAGGATTAGTTTGACAAAAAGAGATTTGTTTTTAGCATGTTTTGCACTGGATAGCCAGGCGTCAAGCGAGCCTTGGGATGTCTCACTTTTACTAACTTTGGCTCAGGAAGCTGTAATATTGCAGAGACAGAGAAAAGGCCTTATGCCTTTAGGCATACAATACTAGGTTAGCCAGTTCCTGCCCTTTCTGTGACTATAAGACCTATTGAGATCAGTCCTTTAGGGTGTGACTGCTTATTTTATATGTATCTTTTTTAAAAAAAATTCCTGCTTAGCAAACATCTTGCTTTTTATGAAAAAAAAAAAAGCAACAGCTACCTTCTAGTAAATGTACAACTTGGGTTTAATTACTGGTACATAGAAAAAGAAGAGGGCACAAGAACTTTGAAATTCAATAAGAAAGAAAGACATTTTGTGGAGATAAATGGTCAGTCAGGTAAGCAAGAAACATAAAGTTCCTGGTATATGTCAGGCCCTGTGCCAAGCACGGGGGATACAAAGAAAGGTAGAAGATAGCCCCTGCCTTCAAGGGGCTCACAGTCTAAAGAGGGAGATGACATGCAAACAACTGTGTACAAAGAAGCTATCGATAGGATAAATTGGAAACACCAAACAAAGAGAAGACACTAGAATTAGGGGGGAAGGTACAGTTTTAGCTGGTGCCTCAAGGAACCCAAGGAAGCCAGGGGGTGAAGAAAGGGCTGGAGAGATTCCAGAGAAAATACCTGAAGTTGAGAGATGCAGTATCTTGTTCCAGGAACAGCAAGGAGGCCATTGTCCCTGGATTGAAGAGTACAAAGTGGTAGGGGGTGGGGGGAAGGGAATAACAGCATGTTAAACAATGGAACTGGGGCAGATTGTAAAGGACTTTGAATGCCAAACAGAAGATTTTATATTTGATCCTGGAGACAATAACAAACATTTATTGGGGGATGATAACACGGTTAGACCTGCACCTTAGGAAGATCGTTGAATTACTAATTGATTTATGAAATTATTAATTGTGATTAAAGGAATCACAGTGGAGTGTCTCTCGGTCTACTGGAGGGCAAGTGTACTCTCTTCTTTGAATACTTGACAGGAAAGACCATTATGGCAACAAGTGGGGAGTAATGCTCTAATTATATTTTAATAAGGTGCAGAAGTACAAAGGGAAACAGTGCAGTGGTACAAAGGCAGATGGCAGGAGCACGGAGGTTGGAGTGGTGGAGGGAGGGAGACAGGAGTCATGGGGAAGAGAATGAGAACAGAGAGTCACTTACATAACCATAACCTGGAGTTGGGAGCATTCAGGCAGCATGTCCCCATAGTAGATGGAGGAATGCTCAGGGGGCAGAAGTTTGGGGCCTCATTTTATAGGACTTTGGTGGGAGACAGACCAACTCTTAACTGTGCTACCTTAGAGTTAGTTCATTAGCATATCCGCGTCATCTCAAAATTATCAGCAACACCTGGTGTTCTGCTGTGATATCTGTAAGATATCAGTAAGCTTTTCTGGGACTTATAGGCCAGGAGAGTTGACAGGACCAAGGATCCCTTACAGCAAGACCTAGCTGGCTTCCCTAGATTTAGCACATAGTCTCAGGATGTGGTTTTAGTTAATTTATGAGATGGTTTTCAAGTAGCTAGTATACTCTCTTAATCAGTGTGACTTCAGGTTTCCCTTTGCAATCCTACTTCCTATTACTTTTAACTTCTATAATGTTGTTGTTCAGTCGTATTAAATGGTGGTCTGACTCTTCAAATGGGGTCCCATTTAGGATTTTCTTGACAAAGATGCCAGAGTGGTTTGTTGTTTCCTTCTCCAGCTGACTTAACAGATGAGGAAACTGAGGCAAAAGGGGTTAAGTGATTTGCCCACCGTCACGCAGTTAGTGTCTGAGGCTAGGTTTGATCTCAGGAAGTCCGAGCTGCTTATAAATTTACTATACTAACTGGTATAGTAAGGGGAACAGAACAAGATACCATTTTAACACAAAGACTTTGGCAGCTGAATGGAGGATATACTGGAATGGAGACAGACTTGTGGCAGGCAGACACACCAATAGGCTACTGCAGCAGTCCAGGGGGTGAGGTGGTGAGGAAATATTTTTATAATAGGAAATAGTTTTATTAGTAAGAAGACAGGAATGTCTGAGACATCCTCACAAGCTATTCTTTTCATCAATAAAACATGAATGAGAATGTAATACCTGACTGACTGACTAGTTTCCATTAACATGGAGCCTAATCCCTGGGAATCCCTGAGATTGGGAATCCCTGAGAATAGGAATTCTGGCCATCTGTCCCCAAGCACGAACAAATTCTGTGTTATGGATGTATAAGGGTGGAGGATCAATTCAGCCAATCTGGTCAATCACCACACCTCCCTACCCTTAGCACTGAAACCTTTATCAGGTGAGAACACATATTGGTTCAGCTAATCAGAGGTATGATCAAGATCTGAATGCCTTTATTGACTAAATAAATAAAAGGCTTTATACTACCCTGTTGGACTTGTACAAATCTGGTGAGCTATTTTAGAATCAGAGATTTGAAGGTCTGGTAGCTTAGTGTGGAAGCCTTCTGGTAAGAGTATTTGGGCCAAGCTTGGGTCCTCTAGGGTCCTCTGCTTTCTTAGGGTACCAAGTTTTATGCTGTTCTAGGATCTCAGGGACGGCTCAGGTAGGGAACCTATAAGTTCTTAGTGCTCTCAAAGTAGTCTGATTGCTGTTCCTGGGGTTGAGTTCTCTTGGTAACACAAGTACGGTCTTGCCTCAGATTTGAGTGCCTCTGGACTCAGCCCCTGTAAGCCAAGTGAAAAACTCTGCAGGTCCACAGTGAGAGAACTGTAGGCTGGCCTTTGGTCTGGGAATTCCTCTCCTCCTTATTCTACAGGAAGTTCCATACTGGGCTCCCAGATGGAACTGAAGAAAGCCTTGTCTACTTCTGAGGTCAGAGATAATCAATAACTAAATGGCTATTAAGTACCTACTCTGTGCTAGGCACTGTGCTAAGAACAGCTACAAAGGCAGTCCTTACCTTCAAGGAATTTATAATCTAACAACATACGAACAAATAAATACAAAACAACCTATACACAGGATAAATAGGAAACGGTTAACACTAGAATTAAAGGTAGGCTTCCTGTAGAAGGTGGGATTTTAGTTGGAACTTAAAGGAAGCCAGGGAGGTGAGTAGTTAAAGCAGAGGAATGAGAACATTCCAGGCATGGGGGACAGCCAGAGAGAATTCCCAGAACCAAGAGATGGAGGATCTTGTTTGTGGAACAGCCAGGGGGCCAGTGAGACTGGATCAGAAAGATTGGAAAGGTAGGAAGGACCAGGTTATGAAGGGCTTTGAATGCCAAACAGAGTATTTTGTATTTGATTCAGGAGGTAGTAAGAAGCCATTTGAGTTTATTGATTGGGGGTGAAGGGTCGTAGAGACATAAACAATTACTTTAGTGACTAAATAGAAGATGGACTGGAGAGGGAAGAGACCTGAGGCAGGCAGGCCCACCAACAGCTATTGTTACAGTCCAGGCATGAGGTGATGATGACCTATACCAGGGTGGGGGCAGTGTCAGAGGAGAGAAGGGGGTGTATTGGACAGATGTGAAAAAAAAATGAAATTGACAGGCTCTAGCAACAGATTAGATATGGCTGGTGAGAGATAGTGAGAAATTCAGAATGACTCAGGTAGTGAGCCTGAGAATCTGGGAGGGTGGTGTCGCCCTCTATAGTAAGGGGGAACATGGATAGAGAGGAGAGTCTAGGGTAACAGACAATGAGTTTGGTTTTAAACATAATGAATTTAAGATGTCTACTGGACATCCCATTCTAGGTGTCCAAAAGGAAGTTTGAGATGTGAGATTGGAGGTCAGAAGAGAGTTTGGGGCAGAATAAAGTAGATTTGGGAATCATTGGCATAAAGGTAATCTTAAATCCATGAAAGCTGAGATCACCAAGATAAGTAGTAAAGAGGCAGAAGAGAAGAGAGCAGGACTGATCCCTGTGGTTATCCTCCCGGTTAGAAGGTGTCATCTGTTCGAAGATCCAGAAAATGAAACTGAGAATAGGCCAGATAGGCGGGATGAGAACCAGGAGAGTGGTGTCCTGAAAACCTGGAGAGGAAAGAGTATCAGAGAGGAGAGAGTGATCAGCAGTGTCAAAAGCTGGAAACTGTGGAGAGAACAGCTTCAGTGGAAAGCCAAGATTGGAAGCTGATCATAAGGGGTGAAGAAGAAAGTGAGAGGAGAGAAAGTGGAAGCACCCATTGTTGATGGCCTTTTCAAGGAATTTGGCTACCAAAGCCAGAAGAGAAATGGGACAATAGGTAGCTGAGATGGAAGGAAGGATCAAGTGAGGAGTCTGAAATGACTGCCCCTCCCCTTGTCATGCTACCCTTAGGTACAGGTTCTGTCTTCAGCCTGCCCTGGGTCTCTTAGCCAGAACTGAGAGCGAGCAACAGAGCTGCCACTCCTTCCTGCATCCTTCTATAATGTTAGGGTATCTCTTTACATCTGGAACCTCCTCTTGCCCTGTTGCACAGCCTTAGCCCTCTTTCAGGTCCTCCTCTGGAGGTCATGTGGCTGAACTCCTCCCCAGTGTCTGCAGACCTCTCTATCTCCCTATACCAACCTGGGCTAGAAAAAGGATTCGCTGTGATTTCAGGGGAAAGGGGAGGTGT